CTTTTTTCTTTTCTTTTTATTTCAAAATTCCTTTTTCTTTTCAAAAATTAAAAATAAAACCTAAATTAATCCCTAAACCAAGTTATCTTACCAAATTAAATTAATTAACTCTATATAATAATTACCACAACTAATTAAATACCAAATTAAAAGAAAACTACCAAAATTCGAAGCTAAACATTAAAAGTGCAAAAATAAGTTATTTTTTGTGATTTTTTCATTTTTGTAAAACGGACTAGATTACTAATTAATCTAAAAAATGTAAAATTAAATCCTAAATAAAAATGCAATGTATTTTTGTATTTTTATGATTTAAACAAGATTAAAATTGCACACGAAAATGCAAACAATCAGGAAAATTCTACAATAATTTCTAAATTAACAAATAATTAAAAGAAAATAAATCTAATTTTTGGAATTCTGTAGGAGTAATTCATGTGAGCCAAAAATCACATGCTCACAAATACTGAAACAAGAGACCAATTATTTTGAACTGAAATAAGAGAGCAACATGCTTTCCTAGCTTAGTTGGTTAAAGCACTCGCTTAGTAAGCGGGGGTCTTGAGTTTGACGAGAGTGTTCTTTTCTTCTATATGTTTATATTTCGTCTTGGTTGTATTCGTTCCTGCAACGAATACAGTCGATACACAACTTGCATTTCGGGTTGGTTGTATTCGTTGCGCGAACGAATACAGTTGATACAGGTTGCGAACGAATACAGTTGACACAGACTGTATTTGTTGCGCGTTAGAATACAAGTGATACATGTTGGTAACAATTGAGTAGTAGTTACGAATGTTAACTAGGCAAATTATAGTTACTAATTAGACTCAAAATTGTAGTGCTTCATAAAAATTCCTCTTTAAAGTAAGGGATCGTTACACAAATAACTGGTCGGATTTAATGTTTACTTTCTCTAGTCAGTATACATAGATTATACATTGATTACACATAGTTATACATATATTATATATGAATTATATATCCGGTCGGATTTAATGTTTACTTTTTCTAGTCAGTATACATAGATTATACATTGATTACACACAGTTATACATATATTATATATAAATTATACATATATTATATATCTGCTGGCTATTTTTAGTTTAAAAAATTAAATGGATGATTTTTTGGTTAATTCATTCAAATAATAGGCCAACGGTTGCTAGTTTTACATATGTTTTTGTAAAAATTGCACGGAGCGCCCTATTTGGTCGTCCCCATTTAACCTATACCCATTTTTTTTAAAGTTTTAACTTGTACCCACTTTTTAAACAACTTCAGCCTCCTTTCTCTTCCTCCTTCTCCTTCTTCTCCTTCTTCTTCTTCTTCTTCTTCTTCTTCTTCTTCTTCTTCTTCTTCTTCTTCTTCTTCTTCTTCTTCTTCTTCTTCTTCTGCTGCTGCTGCTGCTGTTGTTGGTGTTGCTATGAAATTTCAGTTCATGGGATGATTACCATAAGTATGTTTATCAGATTATTTAAAAATAAATTATAAATAATTACGTAATTCTATTCTTTTCACGTTTATTATTTCCAAAATTTATTAGATACTATTGGCAATCTGATTATTTTATAGTAGTAATACACTATGAAAGAATAAGGTGATTATTTATCTAGTATGTTAGAAAGTTTTTTCAAAAACTTCAGCTTGTATAGTGCTGAAGTTTTTACAAATGAACTAAATAACTTCAACATCTTCTGCTGAAGTTTTTGAAAAAGCTTTATGACGAAACTAATGAATCCAGGACAAAAAACTTCAGCTTATTTAGTGCTGAAGTTTTTACAAATGAACTAAATAACTTCAGCATCTTCTGCTGAAGTTTTTGAAAAAACTTATCTAGGACAAAAAAAATTCAGCTTATTTTAGTGTTGAAGTTTTTATAAATGAACTAAATAATTTCAGCATCTTCTGTTGAAGTTTTTGAAAAAGCTTAATGACAAAACTAATGAATCCAGGACAAAAAAAACTTCAGCTTATTTAGTGCAATTACAAACAAAAATTTCAACAAATAGAGAACAAAACTTCAGCTACTATGCTTAAGTTCAGCAATTACAAACAAAAATTTCAGTACACTTGCTACTTCAGGCCCGTCTACTAGAATGCTGAAGTTTTGCGTGATTGTCTTTGCTACTTCAGCCCCGTCTACTAGAATGCTGAAGTTTTGCGTGATTGTCTTTACTACTTCAGCCCCGTATGCTGAAATTACGCGAAAAAGTGGGTACGCATGCAATGTTTTTTTGCAAAGCGGCAAAAGTTAAAACGTGACCCAAAAAACGGGTATAGATGCAAAATCTATCATTTAAAACAAATAAAAAAAAAAGAGAGAAAAACTTAGTTAATTATCTGCAGCAATTATAAAATAAATAAAAATGTGTTTGCTTTTAGGCTCAGATATATATACTATATTTTACTTTTCATTGGAACTATATATATATATATATATATATATATATATATATATTGTTGAAATGGGGTAATTAAACAGTTAAGTCAGGGTCATATTGCGTTGTAGGCCAATAATGAAAGTTTGGACTGCGTAAGTAGAAGCCCACTGGGAAGAAGCGAAATGGTGCACTGGAGGACGGGACATTGTAAAAGCAAAAGGGCTTTCTAACATATTTAGCCAGTTGATATATATATATATTTATCTGCTATTATTTTATTGGAGTGGTTATATTGTATAAAAATCTCAGAATAAAAGGAGTTTAAGTTCTGTATATTAACAGTATAAAAATTATTTACACAATGAAGTCACTTAAAATATAATAATAGATAATTAATTTAATAAATATTGATTTATATAATATAAATAAATGAAAGTAACCTGCTCATAGGTTAAATTTACAATGATAGTGTAAGTATTCATTATATTATCCATTCGCGTAACTTAAATCCAAACAAAATATGTGCACTTTAAAATCATAACACTTACTACTAAACACAATTTAAACTCATAAAAATGCTGAATAATGTACAGGTTTGAGTTTATACTATTCCGAGTTCCTACTCCAAGAACATTACGAGGTCAAAATTACTTCGATTGAAGGACTAGCTAGGCTAGCTTAAACTGTTCTTCTGAATGGAGCATTTGTTAAACACCAAAACATTTACGCATGATTTAAACAATTCTACCTAACTCTTCACTTTTATTCTTTTCCTTAGCTCACCTTGTCAAGCCAAGCAATTTCAAGCTCCGTAAAAAGACCAAAAGCATTAATCACAGGTTCGATTCTCACCATTCTTTACACTACGGTATAAGCTCATCCTACCTCAAAAAAACTATAGAAAAAAAACAGTGGGGCGCTGGCGCTCTCAAGCAAGAGGATGACGGACCAATTCCCTATTAGTCAATTTGGTCTTTCTTGCTAGCTGTAAAAGAAAAAGGAATAAGTCAACAGACAACAGCTCTTGCACTAAAATAGAAATAAGACCTTTATATTGGCACTTATCCTTTTGACCCAAAAAGAGAAAAACAAGTATGGGCACAATTCGACCATATTCTCACACAGTTGCATGTGAAACTAGGAAAAAGTCCACTCCACTGTCCTAAACTGAATCCGTGTTTTGTTTTGACCTTCAAGAAACGGTCAATTCCTCCAAACACCAAACAACAAATAGCTCACGAAAAAGGGTCAAATATGTCCTTATACTAATGAAAAAGGTCTAATATTATCCTCCGTTATACTATCAGTCCAAATATATCCTAACGTCATACTATCGGTCCAAATATATTCCTGACATCATGAAAGTGGTACAAACCTACCCCTCCCCCGTTAACTGTTTGCAACTACCAAGTTCAATTACTTTAAAGTTCTATCATTATTTTGAAGACTTCACTTCCTCTACTTGCTCTTGCTTTTCAAAATACTTGTTGCTTCTCTGACCGATCCTGGAATTGTACGTACATTTCACTTGATCTTACAATTTTGTGTTTTATTTTGCATTTCCTTGTGTTGCCGCTGAATTTGTAGGACCTATTTAGGAAAAATTTAGTAGCACGTTTATTTTAACATAAAACGTAAAGAGAGAAAAAATGGTAGCCTTCCAGAAATGTGGTGAAGAGAAAGAAACAAAAAAAATCAACTCTCGTGTCTAGGTTGTTTTTCTTTCTCACCATGGTCGATTTTGAAACCTTAAACTAGTTTGCTTGTATCTTTGTTTAGTTTTTTATATAAATGTATTTTCGTTTGTATAAGCATGAATTTTGAATAGCAAAATCAGAATTTTCTCGGTTCACGTTGTTTCATATTATCTTTAGCTGTTAGCATTTCTTTTGATATAGTTTGTTTGTGTATCTATGATCTGTGATTTTCTTCAAATGAAAGGGAAAGAAAGGTTGTGGGGAAGGGATGAAAATGGAAGTATAATGGTGAGGTAGCAATGAAATATTGTCATAGGGAGGCAGTTAACGGAGGAAGGATAGGCTTATACCACTTTTATGATGTCAGAGATATATTTGGACCGATAGTATGACGTTAANATATATAAGAATACACTAAAATTTAAATAAATTAAATTCTAAACTCATAATGTCAAAGGTACAATAAATTTCACTCTAAAAAGATAACTTTAGAAATTCAGCCATGTCAAATTTAAATCTTGAATTCGGTCAGAATTAATTGTTTTTTGTTGCCAAAACCTTTTACATCTCCATGTAGCCGATAATTCACTTCATGGTTCAGTATTTATGATCCATCATGGCCTTATTTCAATATGTCTCTGTATATATTCGGCCATTACTTGAAAAAATTAACCCATGATCAGTTAATCACTAGTAACAGATAGCATTTTCCTTTTATTCCACATTATATATATTATTACACTTTGACGTCCATACAACGGATAGTTTCATTTCGATAGAGATGGGGTAAGGTTTTCTAACCTAATCACTTGCTTTGAGTTTGATTCTTTCGCAAGGATTACATATTGCAATATTTAAGCAAAGTTGGTGAGGGGAAAATGTTGAATTACCATCAGATAGGGAAAAACAGAAAAAATGAGCAACTGCAAAGAATTTTATATCTTCCAAAGAACGACTAGGCCTTAAGCACCATCCTTCATCAAGCACAAGTAAATGAATTTTACTACAATATTATGAGTTTTCTTTTAACTCACACAAACAATATACTACCGACCAATCCAAACGTGCAGATCATTTTAACTCCACCTATTTCCTATCAAGCAAATGGAGAGAAAGATCTATTTCATTTGGGCAGAAGACATCCACAGTTGATGTTCTTAATCGCCAAATTATGCTATCAGTCTAGGGTTATTGGCTTTTATCAATATGTTCGTTTTCAGCAGCAATCCTACCCGAACCACGACCAGTCATTTTACCAAAAGATCTCACTGCAGATAAGCTCTTAAAACTACTACTGCCCTCGCTTAAGTTTCTTGACCTCCTAGACTTCCTAATCTTGGAAGAGTAGTTATCATGGTTTGTGTCTTCATCCTTTTCAAACTTGATAACTTGCAATTGTACAATTTTACTACGGCAGAATGGACACAGAGGTTCGGTAGGACTAGTTGTACTAGTATTAGGCTTGCTATGACAGCACAAGGCCAGTATGCAATGTGCACACATCTGGTGCCCGCAGTCCTGCACCTGAATCATGCATAATTGATCAATGCATATACAACAAACTTCTGTATCACTCACCTGCAATCAGATAATTCCTAGTGAGTACCAAAGACTTGAAGCTTTGTGCAGATGGCTCTAAGCTAAAACTAGCTTAGCAACTAACCAAAGAGTATAATACAGAGAAAAATAAGAAATTCCCTTGCGTTTAAAACATGTACACAGTAGTTTGACATTCTGAAATTAATTCAACATACTTCAGTACTTCATAGATTTATGAGTGGTAATTACCTCAGAGATATTGTCATCCATCCCATCATCAGAATTGATTGGCGAATAAGCTGTTCCTTTTAAGATGTTATTTTCCCTCTCCTTGTTAGCCTCCATCAGGGTACGTTCTAGCAAAGACTTTGCCTCTTCATTGAGCTCACTGACGAACTTCAATGACGATGGCCAGACAAGAGGCTCTGCGGATGAAGGATTCAGCAAAACTGCGCACGCACCATGTTTGTATCTTAAAGCAACTGTGAATGGTATTCGCCTGTACCACAATCATTACATTGCATATTTAGATAACCAACAAAATGAACTATGGTGGAGTCACGCAAAGATCATATTCAGATTCACTATTATTAAGCTAGATCAACTCAGAATAAATTGAACAACAGGGGAATTTACTCGTCAATCAAAGTTCAGGACTCTAAACTTCGTTTTATAAAAATTGGAAAAGATCATAAGAGAAAAAGAAAGATACCCTGAATCATCTCTGTGTGATCGATCTGCACCCCAGGCTAACAATTCGCGGATGCAATCAAGAGAACCAGCTCTTGCAGCCAAATGAAGTGGTGAGCTACCGGGGAAACTGTTTTTTACGGTTGAAAAGAAATTACACATAGCTATAAGTATAAATACAAGCTAAAAAAGCAACAATTCAATAAGAATAAAAAGGAAAAAGAAGTCTTGGACAGGATGATTACCCGTATTCACCAGTTGAAGCATAGACCAAAGCACCATTGTCCAGTAAAATATGAACACATTCAGGCCGTCTTTGACGTGCTGCTAAGTGCAAAGGAGTTGCGCCCTTACCATCTTTAACGTTCACAAACCGGGCATATCCCCTAATAGTTTAATTCCAATACAGCGACTTAGAATTATACAACATGGGAACAAAACAAGTGAATTCTCAAAGAGGCTTTACCAGGAAGATGCAACATGAGATGTCCGAGCAGCAGAAAGAATTTCTTTGAGACAATCAGAGTGCCCATAATAGGCAGCATAGTGCAAGCATGTTCTTCCATTAAGCGAATCAAACATCAAAATCTGATCATAATTTTCACAATTAGGCCCAAGAATTTTCAAAAGATACTTCACTTATATAAATGGAGAGAAGAGGTCGTTCTTGCCAAGATAAATTTGCAAAAAATATAACAAGGGTCTTAAAAATAAAAAGTAAATACAGATAAAAAAAAAAGGGTAGTATGGCATACATTAGCCCCTGCTTCAATAAGCTTTTGCACACAAGAGAGCTTCCCGTGCATGGCTGCCAGCATCAATGGAGTCTAAAGCAATAAACAGCAAAATCAGGAGAAATTAAAAAATGTTTAAGAGCTGCTCAATGGAATCAGAAATCATCAGACCACATTTTTTTAAAGGAAAAAAGAAGGAAAAGAGAAGAAGTGGTCAATGCTAGAGGAATTTGCGAAAATGAAACAAAAAGGTGAAATTTTCTTCTTTTTCTTCCATCAATTAGAAATCAACCAAACAAATAAGGAAGAAAAATACAATAATCACACCTGCTTATACCGATTCAATAGATCAGGATTGACGGACTGGTCTATAAGCATAGAAACAACCTGAAAGAACATCCAAACCCATTAATCGTGAACATAAAAGTTTTAACAAAAACATACCACAATAAAGGGATTAAAAACAGAACCCACCTCAACTTGACCATTGGCAGCAGCAATATGTAAAGCAGACTGGCGATCATAAACCCTAGAACGATGAACAAGACTCGAGTTTCTCTCCAGCAGAGTCTTCACAGTCTCCACGTCACCACACTGAACAGCACTGAATAACCCATGGTCATCACTTGTTCCACAACTGAGTCCCTGACCCATCTCACCCCTTCACAATAAAAATCTGAATTTCTGTTCTGCTTTGGGGCAAGGAGGAGGCACCTCTAGCACCACCGTGGACGGAGGTCGTGATGGTGGTGGCAGAATTGGGAACTGTGAGAGTCTGCAATTGTGCATATATATGGAGTTCCAAGGGGAAAATGAGAGGTGGGATGTGTGAGTATTGAAGTCTGGAGCTGCCCGCAAAAACGACGGCGGGGAATAGCGGGCAGCTGAGAAGGTGGAGTAGGAGCCGTCAACAGGCAGCAGTCAGATACTTTTCGGGCAGTCGGATTCTTAAATAATTATAACAGCAAAATCAATGGCGTTCTATTTATGGGAATGAGCCGGTCAAACTTTTTATTGTTACTGATTGGTCTCCTGCCAAAGTAATCAGGATTTCCACATTTAGAGAAAATTCTCGAAGGGCAAGAAAATTGTCTCCTATCCATAATTCATTGGTCGGGGAAATAAGAAATAAAAAAGAAAAAAATACAAGTATGTATACAGGAATCAGGGATAACGCATACCTCGATTTCCCGGTGAAGAAAACAGGATGAGGGCATGAACACACGAGATTGGAATCGAGGTTGGGAACCCTTTGTATCGAGACCCGTAAAAAGTGAGCGATGTGCTCACCATCGAGCCTGATAAAACGACGCACCCCGAATTCAGGACGAGTTCTAAGACCTCGAAACATGATGAACTATTATACATGACGGATAGAGGGCCATGATATTCGCAATCAACCGGATATTACGGTGCGGATCTCGCTCAATGTCGGTTACGGATCAGTAATTAATGAGAAAGAAAGATTCTTACCTTTTTTAGACATGTACTAGGGATGAAATTCTCCTACTATATAAATGGAAAGGTTTTCTTTGATAAGACTCATTGTAGCACGCAAATCAAGAAAATACAAATTCATTTTCTACTTTCTAGCTATTGCAAAAAAATTTACTTAACTGTTTGCTCTTCATTCGTAATTAGGTTCGAACCAAGGGTCCGATCGAGAGCAAAATAATTGTTCACCCTAGGCTCGGGCCAGGCTATAACATTGCGAAGGATTTGGTCATTCATTTTGTCCTTAACTCGTTATCTAGGATTCCTGATTATTTGTGTTGAATCAATCCACATATCCTTAAAATCACGTACGAATTTAATTATTATCCGATTTAAGAGTAAATAGTTTGGCGCCCATCGTGGGGCTAAGGATAATAGTGGTGATTTGATACGAATCTCCATAACACGCCCTATTTTATGCGTGTTCTTTAAAGTCTTAATTTCAGGTTAGCCCAAAAATGTCAAACTCTCACTCTGCCCACTTGCACGTTGACGCTGAGTCCGGCCATCAAGGAAAAATATTAATTTGGTGCCTAGCAACAAGGTGTGTCTAACAGATCCCAACGGCGTCCCAGTGGCCTATCTGGTCGATGGTAACTCACAGGTGGCCATCGACGTTAATTTTTCAACTGATCCCGAAAAAAGAGTTCGCGGGGACCCTGACCAGCAGCTCGAGAAGCGCCAGAAGGTGAAGGTGAATGGGTAAGCCTGCGGTTAATCGTCGAAATGTTGCAAGCTTAACAGGCGGCAATAGCGCAGCTACAGAATCAAGGCCACACCCTCAGCAAGGTCAAGCCCAAACAATCCCAAGAAAGCACCGGAAAAAACGAACAAATCACCGAGAGACAGGGTGAAGCTAAGTCCGGGGTCAACTTCGAGATAATGAAAATGCTTGAACCATTAACGAAGCGGGTGGAATCAAGTGAGAAGAAAATTGGGGCTAATGAAAAGAAAGTGGAAACATACAATTCTAGGGTCGATCAAATCCTAGTAGCATCCACGATATTGAAAGGGTCAGATTCCAAGAAGTTTATCCAGAAAACTTTTCCTCCGAGCGCGGCATCGAAGACGATCCTAACGAGGTTTCCTATGGCCGATATCCCCAAGTATAACGGAACCACAGATCCGAATGATCATGTGGCCTCCTATATCCGCGCAATCAAAGGGAACGACTTAGAAGATGATGAAATCGAGTTGGTATTACTGAAGAAGTTTGGGGAGACTTTGTCCAAAGGAGCGATGATAAGGTATCACAACGTACCCCCAAATTCAATTGACTCGTTTGCTATGCTTGCAGATGGTTTCGTGAAGGCCCATGCCAGGTCCATTAAGGTGGAGACCAGAAAGTCGAATCTTTTCATGGTTAAACAAAGAGACAACGAGATGCTTGTGAGCACTTAATTTTTTACCATATTTAGATTATTTATCACTTTCAGTATTTAAATACTTTTTAAGTTTAATCTTGATATTTTAGCTTGTATTTCACTTTTTTATATGTTTTATTTGATAAAATTGAAAATCACGAAAAAAAAAGATTTAATTTGGACTAGTTCTCCTAAAGTCTTGCTTTGTTCAAAAGTCAAAATCATGACCTAAATTGGGCAAAAGGCTGAACCCAATAGCCAAAAGCCCATTTTTTTCTAGCCCAATCCCCTAACCCTGAGCCCCTTCTCCTACCCTAAAGATAATACACACATACGGTCAAAGGGAGAAGGAGACAGCCACTGCTTATCTTCTTCTTCCTCGTGAAAACAGCCATTCACCTCCATTGAAGAGACCTAAAACCAGCAGCCCTACCCCTTCTGAACCCTAGAGGACAAAATCACCTTAGAGTCAAGGCAAAAGAAGGCCGCTGCGGATCTTCTTCTTCCTCGCAAAGAGCTTCAGCCGCACCTCCATAACACCCACGGCTAGAATTCTTTTTCCTTCTCCAACACCCATGGCCAGAACGCTCCCCCCCCCCCAAAAAAAACACCAGCGACTCACCCCATCTCCCTCATCCCTTTTTCTCGCCACCGTTGCTATATGACGAAGTAGCCGGAGGTGACTGGCCTCCATTAACACCAGCCATCACCTCGCTACCTCACTTCTCCTCTCTCATCTCCTTGTTTTTTTAAATTTGGAACTTTCATGGAGTAAATAGTAGATTTGCCTGATTGGTTGGTTTTTGGCCGAGAAATAACATTTCCGGTAGCCATATACCATTGTTGTTCATTTTGGCCGGAGTCACGTCCTTCGCTGGTGAATTTACTACCTTTCTGGCATCTCTGCACTTCGCCACTATTTTTTGGCATATTTCTCGACGAAAACCAACCGAGCAGCAAACTCCGTCGAAGATCCGGCGAAGCTTCTATGTCGAGGTTCTGTTCGAGGACGACGGCATTGGTTTCGTATTCCATTCACTTCATGGACGATTTGATGTACAAGTTCCCTTATCAATATATAGAAGACATTGAGGTTCATTTTTAGCCTTTATCTTTTTTAAGATTTCAGAAAGTCTATAGTATTTGTTTTTATCGTATGTTAATGGTTTTGGTTTGAACACAAAGGATCTTAAATAGCTCACCTTTCTTTATTTTGTCTATGTCATTTGGTTGCCTAATACGTTGGAGGTTGGTTGGTTGCGTGACATGACTTTTGCAACATTTAAATCCAGCTAGTTTGTTTGATGCAGTGAATATTTTGTGTTGGTAAATGTCCTGTTCTCGTAACTTTCTTTAGGCGCTATTAATAATAAAATATTGTGATTATGGGTACAATTTCTGTGGCATGGTCATAATAAATAAATCCCAACTCAAGTGTGCATTTCACACGACTTGACCTCAACTTCAAATAATAATAAAGTAAATATGTTGTAAGTTGTGGGTGTGTTTCACGTGACGCTATTTGCAATATGTACAAAAACAATGAGTACGCGACATCGCGACTTATTCAAATAAATTCCATATACACTAAAAGGCGATTAAATTAATTGAAAGTGGTTAGAAGTTAAAAATGCACAATATGTTTAAATATATATTAAATCAGATAATTAGGCCAATTATTGATAGTCGAGCGACCGTGCTAAAATCACGGAATCCGGGAATGCCTAACACCTTCTCCTGGGTTAACAGAATTCCTTACACGGTCTTCTAGTTTTTGCGGACTTTAAAACAGAGTCAAACTTCCTCGATCTGGAATTTAAAATAACCGGTGACTTGAGACACCATAAATTATTCCAAATGGCAACTCTGAATTAGATCAATAATCTCATTTCGAATAATGTCACTTTAATTGGAAAAACTCGAGCATTCCTTCGAAAAAAAAGGTGTGACAGCTCAGGCAACTCTGCTGGGGAACAAACCCAAAATCTCTGGTTCAAGGTTCAGAATTCGAACTTAGAATACTGTTATACTTGGCTTTTATTTATTATCTGATATTTATGTGTTTGAGCCTAATGTGCAAAATGCCCTTTTTTTACCGCTTTGATATTGTTTGAACTGTATGTTTCTCCGGCTTTGATATTCTCTCTGAGCCTAATGTGCAAAATGCCCTTTTTTATCGCTTTTATGTTTCTCCCAGTATGTTACCCCCTCCCCGGCTCGAATTGTCCGTTCGGGTAAGCCAGGTCTCGAACAATACACCCCAGGGTTCAAACCTTGAATGGCATCACCTCATGCCGGATCCCTAGTAGGTATGTTTGTTTGCATTACGTGCATTTGACTTTGGGGACTCAACACAGGGGTTGGGTCCGTCTAGGACAGGTGTACCCAGATTTAAAAGATCATCCTGATGTATTTTACGTGCTACTTGTGCATTTATTTGTTTCGGCTTGCTTATTGACCGGCTTCTAGAATAAGGAAAGAAAATCAAGAAAAACCAAGAGTGAGGTAGTAGAGAAAAATTTACCCGGTTATGAAAAACCCAAGTATTTGAAAATCCCAAAACTCTGCCGAAATTTTGAAGAAAAAAAGAGAAAGAAAGAAAATATCATTTCAAAATAAGTCATATTTTCTTATTGTGTCAAAACTGGCCGAACTACGCGGGTCTGATTCTCACCGGATGTGAGATACATAGGCAAACCTCATCAGTTCCGAACCCAATTTTCAAAAATACAAAAATATTTTTCTTTAATTTCTTCTTTAGAAGTATTTCCTTAGAAAATCCCAAATAAAAAAAATTATAAAAACCAAAACATATTTTCTTTCTTTTTAGAAGTCTTTCATTCGAAAAGAAAATCAAATAAAAAATCAAATCAAAATCCAAAAATAAGTTTTTTCCTTCTTTAGAAGCCTTTCTCCGAAAAAATAAAAATAAAAATTTTCTTTCTTCTTTAGAAGTCTTTCTTTTCAAAAATTCTCAAAAAAACAAACAAACAAATCAAATTCCAAAAATAATTTTCTTTCTTCTTTATAAGTCTTTCTTTCAGAAATTTAAAAAAAAAATCAAAATCCAAAAAAAGAGTTAGCTTATTTCCTTTTTTCTTGATCTTCCCAAACTACGCAAGATCTAATTCATGTTT